CCGCCGCCGCCGCCGCCGCCGCTGCCGCCGTCACCGCGGGACCAAGCCAGAGCGAGCCCCGGCGGGGCCCCGCCCCTAGCTCCGCCCAGGCCCACGCCCCCAGAGCGCCTCATGAATATCCATGAGCCGGTGGAAACCGGGAGTGGGAAGCCCGGGCAGAAAGCACCGGGCCGTAAGCACCGGGCCGTATGCAAATAGGCGCAGCCCCGGCACCCAATTATTTATGAGTCTTGCAAATAAGGGGCCTGCCCCAGGCTCAGACCCCGGAGAAACTGACGCAACTAGGCTGCTAGGAACAGTCAGGCAAAATGCAACCGAGACGGCTGCCTAGAGAGGCTGCCTGGGGACGAACCACTGGGGCCCGGCGGCCGGCACTGATTGCAGCACCATAGAGTCACGGCGAGACAGAAGGGAACCGTTGGCGGACTGGAGAGGCTTCCTGTGGCAAACACCTGAGAACGTACCAACGTGGCCGCTCCACGTGTATCAGTTCGGAGGTAGAGCCGCGGTGAGGACGACTGCAAGCTCTATTTTCCTAGCGGGTCTTCGTTTATCTTCTGATTTGCCCCCTTAGCGGATGGAAGTTCCTCTCGACCTCAAAATCTGGTATACCCCTTGCCTCCCATAAGAACAAAAGCTTCACACATACTGCACAGCTTTCCTGCACCCCTACCCACACCCCCCTCAACACACACGCACACGCACGCACGCACGCACCACTCTCCAGGCTCAGGTTTCCATTCTCCCCGCTGCAAGGGGGCCAGTCACTCCTGATTCCATTATCTAAAGCCCTGGAAGACCGTTGACTCCTAGGTGATTGAGGACTGCGCCAGAAGCTGCCTCCCCTCAGCTTGGCTAATGGAGTGAACTGTGAAAGTGACTTCCTAATCAGATCAGCTCTCATTTCTAGACTCTCAGGTGGCCCATACCGGCAGAAGAGAGTGAAAACCAATGCTTGTCCAACCGGGAACAGAACAGGATGTACCTGGAGACTTGCTTCCCGGCTGGCCAGCAGAGCCCTGCCCAGTCACAACAGCATGGTAAACACCACCAAAAACAATGGGGACAATACAACAGGGCTAGAGAGGAGGCATAAGGACATGGTTTCCAAAGTCAGTTCCCTTTATTAAATGTTGAATTTTCACAGACCAGAAATACAAAATAAAAGTAGAAATAGACCCCAGTTAGGAGCTACAGGCCTGATCGCACATGACCCCTGCTGCAGCAACTTGAACAGGAGAAGCAGCGGCTACATCCCTAAGGTCGGGAGAGCAGGCCAAGTGTTTCACCCTGCACTGCCCTGCCCCCCACCCAATCTCTCCCCAAATTATAAAGAGCCATCCTCGGAAAGCAGTAGAGGGAAAACGCCTCCCCTGCTGCCCCAGTTGAAGTGCACATCCCACCAGAAGAGCTTGTCCAGATGGCACAAAATCCAAGGACTACATTTCATAGGAGAAACTGGTACCAAAACACAGGTGGAGAGACTGCAGGTGTGACAGGGCAACCTCCAGAAGAGAGAATTTCCCCCTGCTCTACTCATCAGATCCTGATGCTGAGTCTTCTGAGCTGGGGGGAGTACTGGCCAGCTCCTCCTCTTCAGAGTCCTGAAAATCAAAGGTCTCTTAAGGAGAAAGGTTGAGTCCTGGTTGCCCTCCCAGGGAGCCACTTTTCAGTGATGGAAGGACCCCTAATTCCCTACTCCCTCTCCCTGAGCTGCAGCACTGGCCTTCAGACCTCCAATCTGCACTCCCTTCCCCCCTCATTACTCTCACAGACCTACCACGGCCCCTGGCCCCCAGCCAACCACCCCTCAGGGGCCCCTCATCCCAAACTCCTGCCTCACCTCGCTCCGCCTTCTCTTCTTTTTGCTCTTGTTCTCTCCAGAAGAGCTCTCATCACTGGACACAAACTCTTTGCTCTTAAAGCTCTCACTCAGCTGCCTTGACGACGACTTGGATGATGAACCCCTCGAGGGCGTTGATTTCTTTTCCACCTTCACCTTTACTTTCTTCTTCTTCTTTGACTTGTCCCTATAACAGCAAGAGGGAGAAGGGTCTGGGCCTTCAGACTCACCCACCAAAGCCAATCCACCCTAACTTTTAACAGAACTTTTCTCACTCACGGCCGCACTGCTATCTCACTATGAACACGAACAGCCAGCCAGGTCAGCCCCAAGAGCCCCAAGGGAGGGCATCCTAAGCAAATAACCAGAAAAATCACAGGCCGGAGCCTGAAGCAGTTGCACTCACAGACTTATCTGGCATCTCTTGCTTTGTCTTTAAAAGTTCATGTGAATGATGTTCCATCGTAATTGTTTGTTAATTCCACCATACCTTTGAATAAAACTGACCCTCATGAAAAGGGCCCCCTTTATCCTGTGACTTCAGCAATTCCCTAGCAAACTGCCCATACTTGGGTAATTGCCTACCCAGACTTGAGGAGCACTGCCCTATTGCGGTCAGAGCATACCTATTATCTTCAGCACCCTGATTCTCAACCTAGACCTGCAAAAATAGATGTCGAAAAAGCAATCACTGGGCCATTTTGTTCCCAACACTCACCTCTTAGAAGACTCACCCCGGCCCCCTTCATATTCTTTCATGGCTTTTTCATATTCCCTCCTGGCATCCTCAGCCTTGCGATCCCACTCCTGTCTCTCACGCAAACACACACACACACACACACACACACACACAC